TTTACTTTTCAGGTAATAGCAGATTCTCTGTCAGTGTTACTGAAGGAGTTTGTGCAAGCCTACACCAGCAACAGATGGTGTCATCTAAGGAAGAAAATTCTGCTGAAATTCATGATTCTCTAAACCTGCTCTTGCCAGTGTGGTGTGTTTTATTTTATCTTGTCTCTGATTGCCGTAACATTTACATAGTACTGAGGAGGAAACACAAGCATGTGCCTGATCATTATGGCTAGTCTGGCAAAACAAAGCTGAGTAAAATAAATCTCCCACTGCCACTTGCTCATTTTATGGGATGGCTGGATGCCTGGGAGATGCTCCTCTGTGAAGGTCTGTGTTCTGTTCCATCCTTGAACCAAATGACAGTCCTGAAAGCTGAACTTACTTTGGATTGGAGGCACTGGCTCCCCTGATTCACTTACAGGAGCTCTGAGTTAGCCTGTCTTGCTTTTTTTCTATGGCTTTAATAATAGAAGTGACTTTTTTTGCCTCTTTTTGTTCTAAGGGGAGAGGCAAGTGGGAAGGACTAAAATTAATTAAATACATTACAGATCTCATATTAGTTCCATTTAAGCAGGTCCTCTCATACTTTTGCTTAGTTCTATACTGTTTTATATATTTTAAAGACATTTTTCATTTCTGTGGGCTGCCAGATGTACTGCTGATACCTTCTGATCTGAGGTAGTTTGACACTGATTTTCTTAGCACACGCCAGGGTTCAAATCTGGTCTGTAACCCATCCAAATGATCTATTCATAACAAAAAGTGCCTTCTGGCACTTGCACCACAGCTGAATATTGTTAAACTGAATTCATCATTTCATTTGTTTCTGATTGCTCTACAATGTTTACATATCTTACATATTAGTATGATCTTTTATAAAGCACATGCCGAGGTTAAACCCTCCCAGACAGAACTTTATTTCCCTTCCTCTCCCTTTCAGAAGGTGTTCAACTCTTTTCCCCTTCAAATGAGCAGGAATCTTGGAACTGCTTAATGCTCATTTCATCTGAAATGATGGGGCTGAGCAAGTAGCAATGTGTGTGTTGGGGAAACAGGGAAAGGTGACATTTTCTTGCACAAAAGGGGTTCTTTCTCATCGACAAATAGAGTAACTGTGAGGAGGAATTGCATGGCTGAGTATAATCCTTGGGTAAGTTGGCACCGTCACACAGGGGGACAACAGTCTCGGTGTGAACACGTTCAACTGAAGTATTTATAGATGCAGCTTTATGACTCAAAATGTGAATAAGTTCAGCTTCTCATCTCCAGTCTTCTAATTCCTGCTTCACTGTTGTGCAGAGATCGTTCTGAGGTCTAGCAGAGGAAATCCTCTCTGTGTTCAGTTTCACTCTATGTAAAAGATAATAAACATTAATATGTCTTGCAATAGGAGTGTGTCACAGAAGGAATTTCAGTTAAATGGAAGGCAGAAAATCTGAGGCTCCTTTTGAATTTGTATGTTAACTTCCATAGAAGGATGACATCTCTTATTTGCTTTCAAAATAAAAATCAATTGCCCATAAATCTAAAACACATGTTGTTTTTCTACTAAAAAGATTAAGGATTTTCTTAAGCTCATTAAAGGAAAAAAAAAGTAATGGCATTGATCCTCCTATATCATCATGAGAATGTCTGAAGGCAACTGAGAGCTATAAAAGAGACACTGTATTAGTGTAACAAAAATAGCCCTGAATCTGGCAAATTGTGCTTTTCTTCTGGGTTCTGTGGCAAACTTTACACTTTTTCTCCAACCTTACACTTATGTGTAGTCATGTGTTTTGGTGGGATTGGGTGGGATATATACTCAAACAGAATACGGACCTTTTGGTATGAAAATACAAATACCAGCTGCTGCATGGCCTGAAAGACTTAATCACCATCCAGATATTTCAAGGAAGGGAAATGGAAACCATTTGCTATTTCTTATGCATAGAGCTATGGAAGGATGTTCGCCCTGTCACTTCTCAAAGATTGTGTGTCTGTTTTGGGGAGAATGTTATTCCCATTTTTCTCACTTTCCTCATGCATCAAAACCCAGAGTCTGCAAAATGTGAATTAAACCCCTTAAGTTGAGAGGAGGAAATAGGAGATGTGATGATGCCCTATCATCACATAATGCATGATAACCAAGGTTCTTTTATTCCAGTTAAAAGTTCCCACAGCAAAAAAACTGATTACCAAGTACCCCACTGCCTCTGTCCATCAGTGTGGCAATTCCCAGTTCCCTTGTTTGCTCTGTTCATGTGTTGAAAGTTTGCTGGAATGTGAACAGACGGTACTTCAGTAGTAAGATGATAGGAAGGTCTCAGTGTAATTTGAGAGCAGCCAGCATGGAAATATCCTGTCCTGGCAAATTCCTGCGGGTGTCCTACGTACTAGGCCAGAAGTTCTGGCTGCAGGGAGAGTTTGGTCTTCTAATGAATCTAAACCTTTTGGTGTTATCAGACATAGAGGACAACTTGATAAATTATGGACTAATGATGGAAAAAAGGTGTTTTTTGTTTTTATTTTATAAAGTGTATTGTCCTTGATATTTAGACTTCCCCTGACTTCACAGAGCACCTTTATGCTTTCAGCGCCCTTTGGCTATTTATTTTTTCAGACTACACAGCTGTTGGATTTTAAGCTTGATCCATTTGGTGTAACTAGGTTTTTCCTTCAGTGAACTACAGAACACTGCAAAGTTTGCTGCATCAGAAATTTCCTGAGATAAGACTTCAAAATCCCAAGCCCCTTTTACCCTAAATGTTCCTTGTCACCTGTAGAGACATATGCTGTGTCCACAGCTATCGGATGGGAATGAGATGTTTGGGTTCTCCCCACACTTCCATCACCAGTTGGGAGCAGATACGGACGTGGTGTGTTCTCAGTAAGGCCAGTGATGTGGAATAGGTCTAAAAATCAGCTTAGTTTAGGATTTGCTTTTTCTTGCACTTCATTTTCTCATTGAAATTGTAAAAGAAGCCTTGCCCCATTGAGGTGATGAAAACTCAAAGCTGTATTAATTTGTAGTTTTAAGAGAAAACAAAACAAAACCAAATGTCTCCGCAATGTTTTTGACGTAGCTTCGTCCACTTCGAGTCATAAATGCCTTTTAAATTCAGTGCAGCTATTCTTGCTCTTTAATGGGTTTAGCCAGCCAAAATCTTGCACAGACACACAGACACGTGTGTGCACTTACATCTTTAGGGAAAGTAAGTCAGGGCTTTAGAGCTGATAAGGGAGAATCCAGCAACATTCCTGTACTTGTTAGATGCCTTCCTGAGAGAAATCACGATTTCTTGACACTGTACTGATGTATTTTGAGAAAAAAATTTTTGGTTTTTTTGTTTTCCTACTTAACTTCATGACAAGAATCAGCTGTACTGTGAGTTTATGGCTGGAGCAGACTATTGTTTGTGCAGAAACCTCCCTGCTGCTGTATTTACTAAACATGTGTGATGCACAAATGCCAGTAAACTGCATCTTGGAGCATATTCCCTCTTTGCTTGTAAAAACTGTCTTTAAAGTTTGGCCTGTTTAAATATACGGAGAATGTGCATCATGTTTAACAGGAACAGGCCTCAAAACTGTTTTGACATGAAATCCAGGCCTTACTGAATCAATAGCAAACCTTAAGCATCCTTCAATGGGTCTAGAAATTTGCTAATGAGGAGCAAGGTCTAAATACAAAAAACTTCATTGTTTCATTGACTGAGACCACTCTTTTTTGCTATTGCAGCATTGAAAACATACAGACTTGTTTTGTTATGGAATTAATTCCCTTGTTTCCTTCTCTGGGAGCAAAGCACCTTCTAGAAAACAACAGTTGCAGATTTAGCCATCCCATTGACATGGAATGGTGGGAAGTGCATCACGCATCATGTGGTGGTGCAGGACTGCACTGCTGTTCTCCTGAATATGTGGTCCTGGAAGAGAAAATATGAATCCTGCTTCCAAGAGAAGCCTGTGAGGGGATGTGACCTGTCTCCTCCAGCCCCTGCTGCAAGAATTCAATGTTCAACCAGTCAGGAATACACAACTAGGTTTTGGAGCAAGTACTAGGACCTCCTTTCATTCTGCTGACCCAGAATGAAAGTTGAGAAAGTCTACCTGGTCTACTGAAAGAGGAACAGCTTTAAAGGAGGAAGGAAAATGCCCTCCACCCTTATAAAGTGGTAATTTGCATCTTCTGAAGCAGAGAAAGGAAATGAAGCACTGTTTCCCACATCCTGAGCGGTCTAACCACTAAAATACTGTGTGGGGCAGCTGTCACTGTACACAGGGGGGTGTATTGGTGTGAACAGGGGCCTGTTGTTTCTGTAGGAGAGTGCTCAGATACCTGCCTTGATCTGCCTTCACGGGTGTGAAGGAAGGAGTGGTTTGTGTAAAGCTGAGCCTGAGTAAGGGGCACATTCTGATGTTAACCAGGCACATGTTTCCTGTTGGCCATACCAAGCACATCCCTGTTTGCCCAGCCCAGGTTTGCAGCTTCCACACAAGGCACCCAAGTCTCCTGGCAGCTCTGTGGGAGCACTGGAGCGCTGTCCTCTGGCAGCAGGATTCCCTCCCGATTCCTAACTCTGCAAACACCCATCACCAAGTACATTGTCTGTGTTTGCTGAGGGCAGTCAACAGAGCGTTGTATCCAACTGTTCATTCTAAATAAGGTGTTTTTCTGGAGAAATGAGGCAGTTTCCTTCTTCCTGTAAAATACAGCCCCGATTCCTGAAACTTCTTCCTTTCTGCTTGGCCAGGCCCAGCTGTGCTATCAGAGTGGGGACAGTTGTGTGATAAGTAGCTGCAGTTGTGTCATGTGAGCTAAAAATTATGTGATTGGAAGATCTCCACATTATCCTTGGAGTAAATCTCTACCTGTAGATCTCCATTCCTGTTGGTAACTCCTGTGGAGGAGAAGGAATTGTTTCAGTCTTGGACTCCAGGAGCTGCCAAGCATTAGTTGTGAAGTCCCTCCTTTGACAGGTAGTTTGACTCACGAGAGCTTTCTTTTGCTTTTACAGGTCAGTGAAAAACCCATTTTTGTTCCTGGTGTTTGGGGACCATATTTCTCTGCAATGGTACCAGGACTGTGGTTGAACGAGGGAGGTCAAAGTGCTACAGGAAAGCTGGTAAGTGTTTGGAGACACAGGCAGACTCCAGCATGGGAGGTCTGGCATAATTGCTGTCATTTGGGATAACTTCACTGTTGGTTCAGGCAGAGCTCTGCCTGAAGCACCTCTGTAAGATAAGGGGAGATACAGGCTGCTCAAAGCAATGAACAATTAGTTGATAGTTATGACTCCTACAAACGGTTCATTTGCATATGGATAAGGGATTATATACAGGGCGTGTCTTCCTTTTATGGTGGTGATGACAATTATTGTTATTATCTGACAGGCAAATAGGCTTCATTCTTTACTTCAGCGGGAGGTTGAGATAAAGAAAATTGCACATATTGTGTTACATAGATCAATTGTGCTCATTGATGGGCATAAGTTAAAGATGTATTTTATGGGCAGATAGTAATATAGTAACATGTTATCCTGTCACCTCAGTTCTTTCCATGAATACAAAGAGTCTAACAGTATTAGGCTAATTTAATTTACCAATAAAAAGTAAACTCAGGCTGGATTACCTAAAAAGTGAATTTTCTTACTTACAGGAAGTCAGAGCTAAAACACTGATGTCAAATTTAAAGAAAGGCAAGATGTATACAACATTTATTTAGGCTTGAGTCCAAAAGTGCCACCAAGATCTTCATGATTCCTCAACCGTGGAGCTTCCAGAGCTCCCCGTGTGTCTCCTTGGCCAGTCTGACAGCTCTTAGGACTGAGCTGCAAAGGCCTTGTGAGAAGCTGCAGGAGGCAGGCCCAGGCCTTGGGGTGTCCCCTCTAACCCCACCAAGCGCAGGCACGTTTGGTCCGTCACCAGTGGCAGGTGTAGCTGCTCTGACTCAGACCCAGCACCACCCACCTTTTTAAAAGCCTAGAGATGGGAGAACACGGCCAGGAAATAGGTTGGGACATCCCCTGCACTTACACGTTCCACATGGAACAGTCACTGAATGAGAAGCACAGATCATCCCAGACACACCCCAAGCACTGAGCTGTCAATGGTGTTCCCTCCTGTGCTCTCCCCTTGACCACGTCAGCTTGACATTCCTCTCTGTGTCACGGCTTCAGTGGGAGAGTCACCCCTCTTCCTCTCCTGCAGCCTTGCTTCCCATCCCACCTCTAGCCCATCCTTAGCCTTGTGGCTCAAAAATGCTCTTGCAGCAGGTGGGATGTGTGTTTTAATTTTTAATTGTGTGCTTTAAGTTTTTCAGGTCCAGATTGGGCTAGGACCAAAAAGTGTCTTCTTTTATAGGTAACTGCTACAACCAGAAATAAAACTAAATTATATATATAAAAAATACGTTATATTATGCATATATAAAATAATATACGCTCAAAACATCCCCATTTTAAAAGGAAAGTGGCAAATCTTGGGTGTTTCTTTGCAAGAACACTTTTGAGAGGGAAGTCTCTATCTGTTTAATCCAAAGCAGGTAAATACTCTTATCTAAGCCCTAGAAAGGATACAAAAAATCAGTGTTTTTTCTCAGCTGGCCCAGGATAGTTCCACACTTATAATGTACTGTGACAGTTAGGACGTTGGAAAAAGATTATTTAAAAAATCCTTTCTGTTCTAGTACCAGAGAACAAGATGTTCCTGAATCATTAAAGAAATTGCTGGAAAAAATGTATGGTCTTGTTAGGACCCATAGCAAAAGCCCTGGGAGGAAACAGTGCATGTGCTCTGTGTGGAGGATACAGGGCAGTCATTAGCTCTGTCATTTTAAAGCTGAAGGTTTTTAAGATCCTGCTTTCTCACACCTAAAGCCTTCTGAAAACAAACAAACAAACAAAAAGGATATGTTTGGGGTTCTTTTGATTGCTTGATCACCGACCCAAGGTTAATTACTTTCATAAAATATGAACAGTCTGTTCAGCTTTTTAAAAGTGGAGCTGATACACTTCCCTTTAAAAAGCTCTAATTAATTTTTTTTTTTAATACAGCTGCTGAAGAAATCCGTTGAGTCCAAATGAAGGATTAAGTCCTCTTGTTCGGAAAAAGCTTCAATTTTTTGTACGTTAGATGGGTTTTGCATTGGATTTTCAAAATTTATGAGAAGAAAGATATAGCACAACAGAGACAGAGGATGGCATGACATAATTAGAAACTGTGAAATAAAAAATAGCAGAAAAGGGTTTTTAGATGCATCCCTAATGTGGCCATGTCTTGAATTAAGAGCATTTAAATATCTAACTTCATAACTCCTGCAACTGTTTACTGTAGAAGTGTTTTCATGTGATGTTTATTTATAGATTTATTTCTGAATTTATGAGCTGCCCCTGTGTTCTGAGGGGATTATGCAAGATTGCAGAATTCAGGCCTGAGCTTTGTTTCTAATGCAGACACACATTTGAGTTCTGTCTGATGCCAATCTCAGGAAGAACAGGCATTATTTTCATTGAAATGTTCAGATGTGTTTGCTTCATTATATATTTTTCTACACTGGTTCAGGACTAGACTCATGCTGTTAAAAATTAAATAGTGATGTGACTTTCTGCCCATAGGTATTGCCAAAAATATTCAGTGCTCTTGAATAGCTCTAGTTTTGCCTCCTTAGCTTTTACTGTCATCTCTGATGGGATATTACCAAGAGGCCACAAAACCTGCTGAATTATTGTCTTAAAAGCCCATATTATTCTACCTGATACTTTGTTTTGTGAGTAATGGTAACCACTCTGGACTGAAAGGACAAGTTGATTTATAAATTCAGTATAACACAGAGCTTATATTGATCTTCTTTTATAGCAGTAATTGCTTCTCAGGGTATACATTTTGTTTCCTGTAGTGAATGTATGAAGCATCTATCAGGGTGACAACACACCTTGTGTTTTATTTCAACAGAGTGATACAGAAAGGTGTAGGGATTTGAGCCAAGGCGATGTTTCTGGTAGAATTCCAATGAGGATAAGCATGCAGGAGAATGGGAGAGACCAGAGGACATGCTCTCATGTGCTGTTGGAGACAGGAAAAACATCATCCTGTCACCTTGCTCCCCTGAGTGAGAAGCTGCACACTGAGCACTTTGCCAGTTTTTGGTGCAAGGTTGGATGATTTTCCTTGCTGTTCATAAGCCAAATCCTGAATGTCAGTGGTAGTTCTGCCATTGGCTTCACTAGGACTTAACACTTCATGAGTAATTTAGAAGCTCTCTTGTCTTTTTAAAGTTATGACACTTTTGCAGGACTGAAGTTTTAAGATGCAATCATCCTAAAAGTGTTGATTTTCTCTTTTTCAGATCGATCATGTGGTCCGAGGCCACGTCGCCTTCCCAGAATTACAGTCAAAAGCTGCAGCCAGGTCACTGTCCTTATTCCTTTATCACACACCTGCCTCACAAACTGATGACACAATGTGTTCCCAGCAGTGCTCTTACTCTGAAACAGGGGAATTAACAGTCTGATAGAGGCTTGGAAGTATTTACAAAGGCTTGCCACGTGATTGCTCAAAGATGAAAGCTTTAAACTCCCCTCAGATACCTTTGGCATATCAAAGTGGTGATATTAACTTACTGGTTTTCAGCTTTTCTGTCCAAGGGTATTTCTTGATTCTATAGCATCAGCCCTGTTCAGCAGACCTGTCTCTATGCCTTGGGCCAACAATGTGTCTTAATTTGTAGGTGTCACAACTAAGCTCCAAGGATGAGATACAGCTTCATTAGGATATGTTACTCAGTATTTTGGAAACAGTCGCCTAAAGGAAGGTACAGCCACTGCATGGAAAACTCCTGCATGGCAGCACAAATAGAACAGGGAAACCCAGGATGAATTTTCAGACAAAGCTCAAGATGGAGGAGTGACTTGGAGGTAACTCCAGGATTCCTTGAGCAGCAGGCTTTGGGCAGGGTGGAATTTTAGTGTGGTCTGCCTTAGAAGTGGATGAAGATGGTCCAGACGTATCTGTCAGGTCTGGACTTTGTCGAGTGGTTTTGGCTTGGATTCCTTTTAAGATGGTTCACATCACTCCCAGAGAGGTCTTAGCTGAACAGTTGGGCACATTGGATGACAATTTGATTCTCTTTTAATGTCTTTTTCCTCCTTAGATTAAAGAAAAAACCAGCAAAATTGGCATTTTCTCTTCTGTTTATCCCTCTGGTCTAAAAGACAAGGGTCAGTCCTAATACATATATTAAATATGTGCAGTCACAGAGTTATTTTCAGTCCTCTTATGGGGGATAAAGCTACCTGGTTTCTCTGGATGACCCTTCCATCCCTTGCAGGGCCCACTGTCTTACTTGTTTTTTAAGAACTTGTCCAGGGTTCCCAGAAATGTATTGGACTTCATTCAATATGAAACAGATTCATGCTTCCTAGAATTCTCTTTGTTGTTCTCTGAGAAAGGAAATCAGGAAATAAATGCATCTGTGTATGTTTGGAATAAAGATTGATCTGGGGCTTTTTCAGAATTTTGGCTTCCAGGCCGTTTTTCCAGTGCCCCATATGAAGCTCCAGCATAGGACAAACAGTTTAGTCTGTAATGCCAGGATAAACCTTTTTTGTTGTTGTTGTTGGAAAAATGCCTATAGAGTAACCTCCTTGATTCTGCTGGGTCTGATACTGAACTGACTGATCACAACTAATGCTATAGAGCAAAAACTTGGAGTGTGATGTGAGCAAGACTCTAAATACGGAATATTGGGAATAGAACTCCATGTTTTCTGAGGGTATGATGTCATAACTTTGGATTTGAGTCTCCTGCAATTACTAAAACTGTGGAGAACAGTATTGATAATAAGAGTTGTAATATTTTATTAAAAGAGTGATAGTATTTTATTAATTTGCTCAATGGAATTTTTGTAATGCTTTCCAGATATTACTCTACTAATGAAATGTTTTATAGCTATAAATTTAGTAAACCATTCACTTACTAATTCCCTCATCCCCTTTCTCCCCTTCCTTCTGAAATATCTGTTAAACTTAAAGAAAGAACACCTTCCACTATCCCAGGTTGCTCCAAGTCCTGTCCAACCTCTCCTTGAACACTCCCAGGGATGAGGCAGCCACAGCTTCTGTGGGCAACCTGTGCCAGGGCCTCACCACCCTCCCAGAGAAGAATTTCATCCCAATATCCCATCTAAACCTACTCTCTGTCAGTGTGAAGCCTTTGCCCCTTGTCCTGTCACTCCAGGCCCTTGTAAATAGTCTCTCTCCATCTTTCTGGCAGGCTCCCTTCGAACATAGTGTCTTGTTTTGGAGGATTATTGGTGATGATGATAAATTATCTGCCTGGAATCTCAGCAGAATAGTTCAGACAATCTGCTTTATTATGTTTAGGATGTTCTGTGTGTGGGTGTAGGAATTTGCATCTGTTCAGTCCTTGCATACAGCCACAGAAGGAAAACAAAATGAGAATTCCATGTTTGGGTGTGCAATTCCATATTACCTTTGCTTGCCATGGTAGATGCAGTGCTGTGAGGAGTTAAGCACATGCATGTCTGGATCATTAAAACAAGAACATCTGAGGTCACAAATCCCTGCCTGTTGCTTTCTGCTGCCTCTCACCTACTCCTGCATCCCTAAACCTGCCCTCCCTTTCTCCTCATGCTGCCTATGAGCAGATATGGAATGGCAAGTGCCTGCTGAGCAGCTATCCCAGAGGCTTCTTTGTGCAGACTCCTCCTACTCCTTTGCCCACACCAGAGCAGTTTTCCAGCTGCATTTATCACCAGTTCAGTAATTTTGGTAACTTGTGAGGGCGTGAGAGCTCAGACAACCAGCTCCTGCTGACCACTGCTGCTGAGGACCAGGCTTGTGCAACCCTCCCAGTGCTATTCCTATGTCCTTTATTATCTTCTTTTATTGGAAGTGGACAGGGTTGAATTACATGAGGATTTTCTGGACAGCTGTAAATTTAACATTTGGTCAAATGGTTGGCACTCTGCAAACAACAAAACTTGTTTTTTTCCAGGCAATTCATTGAGTTGCAGAAATTGCTCTGATGCATCGCTTTTGCTCTTCAACCTACATATTGTGTAGGTCTGACATTTAACCATCACTGATGTGTCAAATCCTGCACAAGTAGGCTAGAGTAGGAAATCAAAACAAATAATATAATCATTTGTGTTCTGAAGTTTAAATAATTCTCTTACCTGGAATTACTATTTCTAATCTTTTGGAGGAGAAAAATATCTAACTGACAGCAAAGTTGATGTGCCCTCTGGCACTTTGTGAAGTGCTGTGTTTTAGGACAGAATTCCCTTTCCTTTACATCTCAATGCCACTTCCCCATCTAAAGAGACGTCTCCTGAAAATAAAACTTTGAAGTTACACACACGGGACCCGTCGGCAATTCTGGGATCTCTGAAGTGTAACGTAATAACCGTATTTGGCAGCTTTCTGTACCTCTAGATGGTTTAGAGTCCTTTTTTTTTTTATTTATTTAGAAATCTGAAATTTTTAGATTTTTTTTCCCTGAAAGATACCTGTTGGACTGTTCTAGGATTCTTGAACAGATTAAATACCAGCCTCTTGATTGATGCTTTCTGAAGTTATGTCCCAAATATCAACATAAACCTGGGCAAACTTGCATTGATTTCTTATTCTCCACTTTCAGCACAGTTCTTTTTTCATAGCAATAGCTCTGCAGGTGAGATGCAGCTACCACTGATACCTTGTCATAGAACTGAATAGAGAAAGCTCTGTGAGCTGACGGTGTATTATAATGGATAACCCAAAGGTGGGAGAAACAGGAACTGGCAAGTGTTTGAAGGATTTTGCCAGACCAAATGTAGTCCCTTGAAACCTTGTCTATATATAGAAAAAAAAATAAAATTAAAAAGGTTTGGGGGGGGGGAAGTGTAATTTCAAGCTTAAGTGGGTTTAAAGCATATTTGGCTCAATTTCAGCCTCTTTTTGTTCAGTCCTTGTGTTCTGACAGAGCTGCACAAATGACTAATCCTTGTGAGAGCAGTCAAGCAGGATGGAGATGAGATAGAAGTTGGGATATCTAGTGGGTCTTCTTGAGTGAAGCTTTCCTTTTTTCCCCCACTTCCCAACAGTCAAACCCTGATTTAGACTGGAAGTAAAATGACTTTATCCGTAGCATGTACTGCTTATAGTGCAGTCTTTAGGGATGGAGAAAGCATGGCCACTTTCACAACACGGGGAAAAAAAAAGATTGTGACCTCAAAATTATCATAATTTAGGTCCAGGAAGACACATAAAGTACATTTTAAAGGACGTGAATAATGATGTAAATTAGTTATTTTAATGTCTTCCAAGTGTAGTTCATTTTGAATGATATCCTCTGATAGCATACACATGGTAAGGTATAATTGAAAAAACATGCAGCTGAATGGTTGAATGCAAAGTATAAATATACAGCTGCTAGTGGGTCAGAAGTCAAACTAGTAAAGCATATGCCAAATTCCCTCAGGGATCTCATTAGTGCATGATTGAATATACATGTAGAGGCTAAATGAATATCACTGTTTGGGTCTGCAGTGGATGAGACAATGACTAATCAATTGTAATTAGGGTTAGATGCTGTTATTGACCCACATGTCTAGAATTAAATGCCCCACTTGGAGATTTCCAAGGAGTTGAAAAATATATATGGATTTGTTTGTGATAGGGTGAGTGTTTGAAAAAAATATTCCGAGCATAATTGCAACATTTTTTAAATGGAATGTCACCAGAGTCACTGCAAGCCAAGGCACTGAAGAATTCACCATTAGTCCAGGAAAAAGTCTGTTGGATATTGTGGAGTTGGGTGTAGCATCTGAACTCAGATACAATCATATTTAGGCCCATGGTGGGCTCCTCCCTAAAATAGCAGCCACTCACTTTCTGTCCTCCACCCTTAGTGCTGCATTTTAATCATAACACACACTGAAATAATTATGGTTTAAAAAAGGAAAGCTCTACATGCTATTGATTAATCAGAGAAATTTTTAAACATTTGCAAAGGAATTTGATTTTCATTTCTGTCTGGAATCCTCCTCTCTCCTCCCTCTCCGCCTGCTTTTCTCCAGCTTTCCTCACACAGTGTCAGCACCTTTCTGTGGGAGATGAGGATCAGCAGCCCCAAATATCAAACAGCTCTGGCTCCTTCAGGGACCCGGAGGAGTCAACGTACAGACTCAAGGTCACATCATCTCCCCTCATCCCGCGAAATTAAGGAATTCAGGTGTCCTGTCGAGCACACGTGCAAATAGACGTCCCTCAGTGCCATGGGCTTGGCAAGCAGGGGGATTTTGCTGTTCTTTGATGGGTTTTGTGCATTTGATGGTAGTACAAATGTTTTATGTTTGATGAATAACCTCCCCTCTCTGTTTCCAACTTGTTTTTCTCCTAGTGCTCACAGCATATATACATACTTGAACAGTCACCTGGATCTGATTAAGAAATCTTTGCCTGTGGGTTTCCTCACTGTTGATTTACATGTTTGGCCAGATTTCCATGGTAACAGATCTCCCTTAACAGATCTGACACTAAAGGGCATGGTAAGAAACAGCCTGTCTTTGCAAAAAGGTCAATACAGGGTAAAAAAAAAAAAAAAAAAGGAGCTTTTCCTCAATTTTGAGTGTACTCCTCCTTAGCTGTTTACACTATCCCATAGGATTTGGGTTCCTCGCTGCATTTTGAAGTGTTAAAGTAGAAACCCAGAGATCACTGTAGTTGAGATATCACTACAGCCACATTTATTTTCTAAAAATACGAGGAGTGCTGTGTGTGTCCCAGGATCTTCCCTAGGAGTCACATTTCACAGCGCTTGCTGTTGCTATCTCACTCGTCTACCAAATTTTGATTATTTCTTGCAATGAATTTCAACACAGATTTGGGTAAACCTATCTGGAAAAGGCGTGAAATATTCTGATGATAGATTGCTTGATTTAAACAGCTTTTCTGCCCATTTTTAAGTGTTTGGATGTTTCTTGTTACTGAGCTTATGGTGGTAGATCAACTGGGTCACGAGGCTGTGCAGAACTATAACGGAAGAATGTCATAGGGGTATAATTTGGTGATATCAAAATACCTGGTGATTAATGCATAAATGTCCTTCAAAATGGCATATTGTCCTTGAAATGAGCTTCTCAAGCTACTCACCAGCACCAAAATGTGCAGTATTTGAGGGTGAGGTAGGAAAGGGTACAAGCACTGCAGCATTTAAATCACAAATGAGGGAAACATTAAAAGAATAAAAAAAGCCTATATATTTTTGGGTCCTAATAATATCTGCTTTATTTTATGAAAGAATTATATGCTGCAGCAGAATCAGAACTTGCTTGGTATGATGCCTCTATGCAAATGCTGTTAATAGCAACCCATTTTTTCTGTCACAGTTATGGCTGCATTCAGGTCTTGCCTATGCTGATATTAATCCAGACTAACTACAGTGCAGTATTGATTTATGTCAGAGTAAAGGAGGCTAAGATATTGTATTTAATTATTAATTGTGTTTCAGTGTTAGGGTGCTTGGATGGGAGGGGGAGAAATGCTTTTAAAAAGTTATTTTTATGTAATAGCATTTTCATATTATTACATTAAATACATTCACGAGCAATATCTGAGTCATAACATAAAACTGTCAGAGTTAATCTATCTCTAATCCCATACAATATGCTGTTTGTTCTTTATTTCTTTGCAAGGGCAAGAATAATTTATGTGGTTCTTCCCCAGATCAGGAGTAACATGTTTAACATAGCATTATGTGTACAGCTCACAGAAGTAAGGCTCAGAATTAGCGTTTAAAACTTGTTACAACAAGAAGCCATAGAAAATAATAGAGTTTTATGTTGGCTGGATTTGTACATTTTCTTTTTGATCTTTGCACAGGTTGTTGGACTGACATTGTCCCGGGGTCTGGATGAACTTGCCCTTATCTACCTGGCCACGATCCAAGCCATTGCTGTAAGGCATTTTAAGTGCATAAAAGAAGAAATGAGTTGTCTCGTGTGCTGTAGCAGAGTGATCATTACCTTCTGCTAACCAGATTTCTAATAATACATGAATTCACTTAATGGACTTCTTAAAGGAGCAAGAGGTTGTTTATCCGCGTTGGTGACTATTCCCAACTGTGGGTGAATCGACAGGCAGAAAACGGTCCCCTAAAAAGTCTTTTCCTTATGGCAGTTCTGTAAATGGAGCTTTTTCCTCTGGTGCAGATGTGAGGAAGAAGCTGATAGTCCATGGAGTAGTGTTACACCATGGGCTGTCTAAAGGGAAACCGAGAGGGGAGAAAAAAGCTTTGGCAATTGTACAAAGGACCCTGAGCTCCCCTAAAAGCCTTAGCTTCAGATTGTTCTTAAATCCATGGATTTCACAGCTTGTCTGGTGGATGAGGCAGAGCTCTGTGGCACAGTGAGCAGCAGGGTCTGAGATGCAGTTCACAGCTCCCAGACCCACCAGAGCAGATCTTCCCCTTCGTGTCCCTGCTCCAAGGAGAGCAGCTGCTTCCCGTGGCACTCCCAGCCTGTGTCCGGGTGGATGTATGGAGTAGGCAGGGAGGCTCTGAAATGTCCCTGATGTTTGCCAACACTCAAATGGGGAATTTTATTGGAATACTTTTCTTTCTGCCCTGATTTTCTCTCGAACCCAGGATTTCCAGTTCGCAAGAAGTTCTGTTCTGAAGCAAAAACCTGGGTCATAGAAGTTGTTTGGAAAACCTGGCACAGGGTATTTTCTGTGGGGCCTTTTGGTGACCAAAATCCACATTCCTTTGACATCCTTTCTGTGATTTTTAATTTTTTTTTTTAAGTTTGCTGAACTTGAGGCATTTTTTTGCAAAACATTAACAGTTTGATGAACTGGGGAGTTTTCCTGACAAAACTCTCTTCAGCTGGAAAACTTCCAAACTCCTCTCCTGGTTTAACAACAACTTTGCTAGGCTGGGTCAGCCATCTGGGATGGAGAGGGTGGGCGGCTGCTGTGAATTTACTGGGAATTGTCCATCTTATGTGTTAACCCTCCCTCTTCAGCAAATAAGAGGAACTTAACCCCAGCCTGGAATTCATTGTTGTGAGTTTTGAGCCTCTTTGAGAGGAAAATAGCTTGGTTATACCTGATGCTTCAGCATAATCCCACCATTGAAACAGGAATGCCTAGGAGAGGTTGAACAATGCCAGGGACTGATACTGCCCCTGAAAGGAACTTCCCAGTCTGGAACAGGTGCTCCCTGATTATATGCTGCTAACGAAGTGGAAACCTTCTCTGCTGGAAATCCTGGGAAAGTCACCTATTATCTCATTGTATGATACAGCTCAGATTTTATTGTAGAACACAAATACTGCGTTTAAAACTAAATTCAGCAGCTGTATACCTTTTTGATACCCGATTGGGCTGATTTAATGTAAAAAAGCTGTCCCATGGTTTTCTTTTCATTGTAAGTTCAGGGAAATTAGTTTTTCCTGAAGCAATATTGAAACAGTAACTAAAAAGTAGACAGAGAACATTGGGTTTGACTTGATATATTTCCTAATTGCCAGTGTGACACCTAGGAAATTTAATTTTCCTCCCATGCTCCTTCACTCCCAATTTTAGCTTCACTTTATTGAAGGAAACAGTTGTAGTAATCCTGCACCATTAGCTGCCTTCAATGGGTGCAAGATAAACTTTCAACCCAAGTAAAAATCTTGTACAAAGTGTAGGCCTGCCCACAGAATGTTAATCTCTAGTTTTCTTTTCAGCAGGAGACGCTTTTTTCTTTTTATATAAAATTTGCATTTGAAGCCCCTCAATTTGCATTTTCTCCAATCCAGGATTAAATTAGTTCCCCCCCCACCCACGGTGAAATAAGTCTGGCTTTAATTTAAATTGCTGTGTGAATACAATTTTCCAGGCAGGTAAACACAAAATAATTTTCACAGCGTGTTCTTTCTCAGGGTCTTTGACGTGTGTATGTTGTGAGAGAAGTTGTTAATAAATTTGAATTTCAGAAGCAGTGAATCTCCTTTTAACCATTCACTGCAAAATGCGATGCAACAGTTGGACGGCTGAGAACACGATCAGGGGTGTAATTGTGGCCCGTTCTGAGCAGACAGATTCCTTTTAGAGCCGTTTATTTTTCCATAATTAAAATTGTGGATTTGGAAATTAGCCCTCTGTGTCAATAGGGAAGCGATGGATTTAGTCAGCTGGGGTTGTGGCTGCTCAAGTTCCTCTTAACTGCTTGCCTAAAAATCAAAATATATTTGAAGGCCTGTCCAGAAAAGTGCTGGTCATTCATCGTGGATGTCTCCGTCTGATGGAACTCTGCTTGTTCAATTTTCAGTGGCTTTTATTTGAAGAGGAGTTTATTGCAGCTGCAGACATCTTAATGAACTTGCAGCATGACATAAAGAAAACATTAGTGTATGAAAACTCTGACCAGGTTGTTTTGTGAGGAATCTACCTACAAAGAATCAGCCCTAAATTTTGCCTTAAATTTGGCATTTTGTCAAGTCTGAGCTTCAAACTTAACTTCCAAGGTATTTTAAAGATCTGGGAGGTTTTTTTGGTCAAATAGTTTGTCAAAGAAGTGTGAAATACTCCTGAAAAAGGGAAATAGGGAGAAGGTTGTCTTCAGTGAGGAGCTGGAGGCAAGCAAAGCAAACAAAAGGAGAAAAGCTTTTTTTTTTTTTTTTTTTTTTTTTTAGATGGCAAAGCATTTGCTTTGGTTGTTCTAATTTGAGTTTCTCAGAATTGAGACTGTAAATGAAAAGTTTAAAATCCGCCTGCATTTCAGATGTTTCAATTAATCCAGGCATGAAACGGAACATTTTATTTTGTGTAGGGCAAAGGCCAAGAGAAATAGTTAAACCAATACAGAATTCTTCAGGTTTTCTTTTTTGCTGAAAAGACAGAAAACATAGGGAGTTTTATTTGCTGTTCTTTTTTTGTTCTGTTTTGCTATTTGGCTTCAGAATTGAAACCTCTTCACTGAGAGGGATTTTCAGATGCTATTACACAAAGTAAATAGAAAGTTTCAGCAGGGATGTCTTTACATAGAAGTCCATATGTCTTTGCATATAGTTCTGTTCTCCTGTGCTCATCTGGCTTGTTTTTCTCTCCCTTTTTGAAGTTAGGAACAAGACATATTTTGGAAACGATGCAGGCTGCAGGACATGATATCAACACGCTGTTTCTGTGTGGTGGGCTGAGCAAGAACCCTCTCTTTGTGCAGATGCACGCTGACATTACTGGTGAGTTTGGGGAAGTACAGGGAAAGGAGTGGAAACTGCTTTTATTTTAGGTGTCTAAGTACCTTGTCTTTGGAAAAATAAAGACTTGCTTTGTACAGAAAAAGCATATAATGAAATGTTACTTTATGAGCTTCATCCTATTTGAGTTGTGACACTTCCTGCCCTTGCTGGGCATTGCATCCCTTGTACAGAACAATTCTCTCCTGAATTGCTTCCATGTCTGTATCACTCATAAGGTTTAGGGGACAATTTCTGCACCCTTGCTCCTGCAGAGTGTTGTCTTTGGTTTTGTGGAATTCCTGATGGGTAGAAGGAAGCTCCTGGATCTGTGTTTCACTGCAATGTCAGGCCTACGTGGTATTTTTGGTCTCCCTTCAGCCTGTGTGTGTTGGACATCTTAGCACACCTGTGAGTCAGTTGAATATACTTTAAAAAATGTGGAAAAAATAACAAAATTTAGTGTAAAGGACTTCAGAGGAACATTGAATGATGTGTGTTTTGGGTATATTTCAAATAAAGACCAGTTGAGCTGTCAAGAATAAAGTTTAGGGCTCAAATTTGGGGCATTTTTTCTGGAGATCTGACTTGCCCTGACATCAAACCACACTTCATAACCTTGATGCAGGAAGGAAGATGAAAACGTGCCTTATGTCCTTACCTGAGAGGAAAACAGAAATGGAGAAGCAAAAAGCCTATTGACCTTAAAATTCACTAAATGCATTGTAGTCAAAGTGAAAAAACGATGTTGTCAGGTCTGTGCCTTTCCTCATAGAACTCAGATGTTTTAGGTGAATTTCAGCTGCGTGTGGAGTTGTGCTGCTGGTCTGTGATGTGTAAAAGAAAAGATCTGTGAAAAGGTATTCTGATTAAAATGTAATCACAAGTTCTTTGACTGTAACTAATGGCCAAGTACAATTCAGTACAAAAAGGCCTTTTTGCAGTCTGGAGTTCTCCCCCATTTGTAAAATCAGTGACTGACAAGGGATGTCAGAGTTCATCTCACTGAAATGCTCTTGGTTATGTTGAACTCATTAGAGCCTATCAGATAAAATAACTAACATTCCAGGATCAATCCCCCATTCTTTCCCGAAAAGAAAAAAATCTGAATATATTATTGTTAGCTGCAAATGCCCATGACTCAGCCATGCAGACATCCAATAGATAATTCCACAGGCCACTTAAAAAGTATCTTGATCTTTTTGTTTGCCTGGTAAGAATTCCGTATTCATTCTGATGATGCGGGAAATGGGCAGTAAATTTTTGAGCACGCTGAAAATTGCTCACTGACGCCTGACAAACAGCCCTGGAGCTTTGAGCCCGAGCTTTAGATTTGCTGTTTCAGGTTGACCCAAGTCCTGAGCTGTGATCCAGCTGAACTGGAGGAATGCTCAGGTGACAGGGCAAAGTTGCAAGAAGAATTTACTTTGTGTCAGTAATTGCTGCTTATATTAATAATTTTATCCCTCGTTTTGCAAAGTGTGTATTTGCCTTTTCCTCTCTAGGAGTTGTTCATGGCTACTTCAGGTCTTCCTCCAAATTCCAGCTCCTTCTAATCTTCCAGCAGGGTCTCAGGAGCAGCATTTTTTGGGGCGTAATATCATGGAGACTATTCTCAGAAGGAATCCCTCCTCCCACCCCTGTGTTTGCATCATCATTCACTCAATGACATTATCTCAGTAATGGAAGTTTAGCCACATGCCAAATACTGTAGGAATATTACATTTTTCGGCTTAGTGAGGATAAGCATCAGAAGTGCAACTAGAAAAGTATTTAGACTTATGCTCTTGGTTTAGATGTTTCAGGAGAATTAATGAAGCAGGCTAGTTTTTATTTATTAGTATTTTTCCTTCTGTTTTTACACTGGTGAAACATATTTCAGACACTCACACTTTGTGTGAACCAAAGGGAAAGTATGTTCACGATAGTACCCCTGGTGATGAAACAATATGTTTAAATTCTGCTTCAGAATATATATTGTTTGTTTGTTTTTCCAGTGTTTTAATTTTGTTTTTGAGTATCTTGCATAATTTGGAAGGCAAGTTTTCCCTTATTATTTCATACATAGCTTGAGAAAGTTTGCTACTCATATTTTCATGTCTTCCAGCAAAACCAGCCTGGCTTTGTTGGCTGTATATTTAAAACCAAACACAAACAGTCTTTTGTTTGTTTGTTGCAAAAGAAACAAAAAGGACACCGCCCTGTTTTCCCCTCCAGGTCAACTTTTAATGGGCACGTGGGTTTGGAGGGTGCGGGTAACAGGTTTATACCAAGCCCTGTGAGATAAATAGCCAGTGTAAAAGATCTGGGGGGGTTGTTTTTTGTGTGCTTTATGTTCTGCATTAATATTTGCTGAAATAGTTGTATTTAAATCCTACATTTTTCCTGGAGCCTGGAACCACAGAGCAGAGTGATTTACATTAACCTACAGCAGAAGGTAGCTCTGAATGGAGTCATGAATAATGGTTTTCAAGCCCTTTTTGATTTCTTTTTTGCTTTAATTATTTATGGTGCTGCTGGTGCAGTCCCGCTGTGTTCTGTCTAACAGACCTGGCTCTTTCCTGTGCAGGGAAGCCTGTTGTCCTGTCCAGAGAGGTGGAGTCTGTTTTGGTGGGTGCTGCTATTCTTGGAGCTTGTGCTTCTGGGGACTTTGCATCTATACAGGTATGAAATACCTGATTTTACTTTTTTTTTTTTTTTTTTTAATTTTAATATGTTTTACACCTTGACTTTTGGCACCACACACAGACTTCAACCCAAGTGGAAGAGTTTGTACCTTCTGTTCTGCACGGCCAGACAAGAGCCAGCATTGCCTTCTCCTTTCCCTCTGTTTAACTCCACATTTGGGTGTGTTGAGGATTTATCTGCCTTTTCACTGTAGGGACAGGCATGGAAGCTGCTGTCTGTGAAGCTGGGCCATGTAATTTTACAGACAAAACAGGGAATTTGGCAAGGCTCTGATCCTGCAGGAAGGTCGTGCTTTCATCTCAGTTATATTTGTCCCACTTTCCTTCCTTCATATTGAGGAATGTTAATCATAAGAAGCAGCACAGCACTATTTATGCAGTAAAATATAACAAACCTATAGCTCTTGTCTTGCCCACAGTGAATGCAGAGTTAATAATGAGAATGGAACTTCATGATTATTCATGTTATCTCAATCCATTAGCAGTTGCAAAAGTAGCAGTAAGGCTTTTATTTCCAGTGGATCAACCAAAGCATGACTTAGCGGTGTTTATATAAACAACACTGGTTTACAGAAACCTGAGGAAGGGGCTGAATTCCCCACATCGTGCCTGTTTTCCCACCTGGCAATCCCACTAGTATGAGACATCTCCTCTCTTCATGCTGCACAAGGACATTAAACAACACACTGCATTCAGTTGGACAAATTTATTTATCAGGATGGTCCCTTGTGCTTTTACATACATTTTGCTTTATAACATCAGGCACAGATACTTGTAGATGAAATTTTGCACAAAAGCTTATCTGGATATATTTTCTGAATAGGGAGTTCAGCTTCTTGACCTTGTTAAATTGATGCAGTTCCACTGGAATCAATAAACAGCTCAACATAAGCTGAGGAGCTGGGCTGTGCTTGGCATTTCTCCAAATGGGAATATTCTACAGTGCTGTGTAGGTTAGCAGGAAGAGCAGTTTCCTTTCATAAGAATTTTTCCATTAAAATTAATCCCCTTGCAACAAATATATAGTGCAATATATATATATATATATATAATATCTGTATGTAATAGTTCTAATGCTTGTAAGAAGAACTTGTTTTGATAAATGTAAGTTCGGTAGGAACTTTGGTGACAGGACTTTATTTCTCACTCTTCTGTTAATCTTTTGCCTTCAAATACATATTTCGTTCCACGTCTGCCATGTTTTTAATTACTATGCAATAACTGAACATCTCAAAACTGATTTTATCCAGTCTGTTTTAATCAACATTTGAAAAATCTGATGCTGTGAAGTTTTCTGTGATGTTTTTGTATATATTTTGGTGTATTCACTTACTTTTAGTTTTAAACCTTGCCCTTATATACAAAAATATTTCAGAAGCATATCCAATAGTGTCAGAACAGATACATATATTTTATACATACTTTAATATGTCAGTGTTCATAACACACTCCTTCAGATGTCTTTTTCAGTGAAACTGAATCCTTTGAACCAGCCATGTTGCAGACTTTGTAACTGCAATATGTTGGATTATGTAAAAACATTTTTAAAAGAGTTTAGCTACACGGGATAAAGGAATGAGAAACTGAATACATTTATTTTAGGGACAGGAAAGTGTAAATGCATATCTAGCACTGCAGTTCAGTAACATCTCTTACATTTATTTTTGTAACGCATGTTCCAAAACAACCCTTTCTTAGAGGTGCTGTTGCAAACATTCAGCATCATTGTAGACTTTGCAAATAATAGAGGTTATTACCTCTCCTCTAATAGATGGTTTGTGCTTAATTACCGTCCTTTCCAAAGCTCTTTGTTGGCTCAGTCTAATAGTAAAGGAGAAAATTGTGGGTTTTTTCAATAATCTCTCTCCTTATTTCTATGGTTTTTTGAAGGGGATTTTTTACTGTAGCTTTCCCACTCACTGGTCACATTTCTCAGAATGATTTTTGGACATTTCCACTCAATGTCAAGATCAAAATGCTTAAAAGCTCTCTGGTTTTTATGGGTTGGCTCTTCTCCATTTTCTAAAACTCAAGCCTTTTTGGGACAGCTTGGAAGTAGCACCCAAAGCCAGGATCCCTCAAAATCACTTCTGATAATCTTAGTCCAGCTCTACCATGCTCTGCTGACTGAAGGACTGGCTGCTGAACAAACAGCGAGTCCCAGTGGTGGGGCTTAACTTTGGGGATGAAATGATACCATGAGCTGACCTGCTTATAATGACTGGAACATTAAAGAGCTTTACCTTTGATGTCCCTAAATAAGTTTATTCTCACAAAGAAACAAGCACTGATATACCTCCCATCTCTTTTCCCTTTCCATACCACAGCAGCAACTGTTCGCAGGACGCAGCATTTTATTCTAATTCTTAATTTTCGTATATTTTTCTTCATATTTTGAGTGATTTGGGTAAAGATTTTCATGCTTTCTGCTGACCACATCTGTATTACCAACATTCTCAGTATGCTGAGCCTGTACAAAGAAGCGCTGGAAATGAAGGTCCTTGCAAAATTTGTGACAATTCAGGTTAATTTGCAAGCTCCTAGTGTGGATTTAAAAGTTCAAGCCCCTTGAAGCTGCAATTTCATCTTTAGGTAATTTGATCAAGGGAAGATTTATAACCTCCATCTCTCAGGCCTGGTCACCATATGTTGTTGCTTCAAAGAACGTTGACTTCCCTATTTTCCTCTTCATTTACTCTCCCTGCATTTTTCTCCTCTGTGGTAAAACAATTGGTCTATCCAAAAAGAAAAAAGAACATGCAGTGTTGTGAGATCTTCCCCATTTCATCTCTCCGTTATTTAGTTTCTAGAAACTCTGGAAAATGGAGAAAATAAACCGAATTTCATCTTGGTTCATCTTTTAATTTGTCCAAATGCTACACCCTTTTTCTGTGAGTGGTTTTGTGGTACCCATGAGCTCTAACATAGGCTGGCTGTGTCCCAGCAGACAGTGCTGTGTAAAATCCTGTGACATAAAGGTTTTTGAAATACAGACTCTTATTTTGGGGATTTGGATTTTTCAAATGTGTGGCATTGAAAGAAATAACCCTCACATTGCTGCTTGGATGGGTCAGTTTATTGGTTCTGGCCATTCCTGTCATGCTGAGCAGCAGGATCCTGGGTTTCTATGGGATTGTTTCTATAGTAAAAATATAGTTTCCGGTTTAGCAAGCCAGCAGTTCCCTCTCAGAGAAAATGTTCAATAAATAAATGTCAAAGTTTCCAGTATATCCTCGTTACTCTGCCTCACTCGTTCATAATTGAAAATGGGAAGAAGGTGCTGTTTGACTTGGCAGTTATCCAGCCCTTTTTTTTTTGAATAGCCCACTCTTTGGGACAAAGCTGTTCACGAGGGAACGGGATTATTGCCTTATAAAACCCTGCAGCCCCCTGACTATTCCTTCATTGCGTATTAAAACAATTAATAAAATTACCTGTATGAAACCAGATAACCAGATTTATTTTGGATATTCTGAATTCATGTGGGACATTGTTACTGGCCAGTATGGGAGAGAAGAAACTCTGATTTTCTAAAATGCATTTTGTTGGTACCTCTCTGTAATCAGCTTTCTGTAATAATTTTCGATGTCAAACATTCAGCCAGAATTTAGAGTCCTCATGATGACAAGATTTTTCAGGTACAAATTGACTTTCAAGGGAGGTTTAGCCTTTTTTTTGTTAGTTTTGGTTGTTGTGCAAGTTACTGGTATATTCTGCAAAAGGATGGGAAAAAGCTTTTTCATTATTTTTGTCAAGCAGATTGGAGGTGTCTAAAAATGAGCTGGATTCTGTAGAAAGAGCTTTTAGGTAATTATCTAATGTGGATTAGCTGAATTATTTAGCAGCAGTAGCAGCTGAGCAGGTGAAATACCCCCTGGGCATGATCTGCATCCCTGGAAGCAGCAGTAGGAGCTGTGTGGATCAGGATCACTGGCTCCTGTGTCCATAACTCTGGACTATATTGCAGGTGGGGGTTGAAGTTATGGTGGTGCAGGGGAAATGATTCACTTACAACTCCACTAAAGGAGCTCAGAAGAGTTTTGTTTGTGCACTGCAGGGTTTTGCTTAATTTAGTGGACATCTCCTCTCAGTTGTCTCAGGATGTTGTTGGGTGGTAAAGCATAAAATCAAACAAAAAACCCCAGAGATAACAGAGGTTTTATAAAGATCAGCGAGGAAGAACATCTGATACGCAACTTATTTGCCTTTTAACAATTAAAATGTTACAGATTGTTATGAATGTAAAGAAGTTCCTCGGCACAACAGTTAGTCCACAACCTTGGTAATGGACAAACTGGCAATGGGGAATAGGCAGCATTTCATAAGAACACCCATAAATAGTACTGGGACATATTCAGCACTTCTGCTGACAGAACTGGAGGGGATTAGGCCATTTCCATTTCTGGATCAGGCAGTTTCTGGCATAATTTTCTTCCATTTATTTCAATGGATGTACTTCAGTTGATGATCTGATCCTCTATTCCTCTTCCAAAGCATTACCTGTCGGGTCATGGATTGAAATTATTACAAGCCTCTTGTTGATTTCCATATTTTCAAAAGGAAGAACCGAGTAAAAGATCAGGGAGGGGATAGTTGTTTCCTTAGAAATGGTAATAACTTGGGAAATCAAAAGAGGAAATAAAATGACTTCTCCCGGTTGAGTTAGGGAATGTTGCCTTCCCTCATCTCATTAAAAATTTAAAGCACTCTTGTTTTTGAGCAGGGTGAATTAGTAATTAAGTGCTGTAATCAACTTGTGTAAACATAATATTGAAGGAGAACAGCAAATTAATCATTTCGTTGGCTTGCCTTCCCCAATTAATGCACCTTTTAGTAAAGGCCTTCCTGCCGTGTTGGGATGGGTTTTTTCTCCTCTTTCCTTAATCAGAAGAGTTATGAAAGGCAGAGGAAGGAGATGGTTGTTCTTAGGCCCCCGGTGGTCCAGGGGAAAATTCACTGCACTGTCACTGCAGAGAT